TAAATAGCCTTCCCGAAAATCTTCCTTCAATTTAGCTTTCCCGGCGATAAAAAGCGTCTTCTTAAGTCTCCCAATATATCGACGCATATTTTATAGGTCGAGCCATTATCGGAACATCTCTTCAGGCTAGAAGTAGAAAGATGGAGGCCCCTAAGAAACAGACTTTCCGCTGTCTTTACCTCCGGCAAGTTGAAGGAGATGTTTCACTTGTTGCTAGAATGCTCGGAACACTTTGGCCGGTATTTGGAAGGGATGATCGCGAAGGGCGAGCCGATCGAGTGTCGCGAAATCTCCGCGAAATTCACCACGGACGTGATCGGTTCTTGCGCTTTCGGCATCGAGATGAACGCGCTCGCAACAGAGGACAGCGAGTTCCGTAAAATGGGCAGGAAAGTCTTTCAGACGAGCTGGAAAACGATGATCAGGGACAGGTTGAGGGATTATCCGTTCTTGTTTAAACTGTTTGGTCGTTTCGTCGTCGAGATGGATATCTCCGATTTTTTTACCAGAATCACCAAGGAGAGTATAGATTACAGAATTGATCACAATATACGTAGGCACGATTTCATCGACACTTTGGTAGACTTGAAACAGCATCCGGATAAAACCGGCCTTCTAGGTATTTCGTGTATAATTTATAATTTACAATTTAATTTACACGACAATTGTACAATTCTACGATCTATTAATTATGTCTTATAATTTTATGAATCAATTTGTTTCATTATACCGGATGACATTCTATTTTGTACAAAATAGAGCAAATTTAGAAATTTACCTATTATACAAAATTTACGAGTGGAAAATTCAACAGAGGATGGAACATTAAAAATTCGGATGCACTTTTTATTTTTAATATTCGCTACGTATTTCTTATAAATAATAAAATTGGACGTGTATTTTATAATGCAATTGTTAATCTTCTCTTTCAGCGAGGAAACAGAATGATTAAGATAGCGAAATATGAATTGAAATATTTCATCAAATCTTTCGAAATAATATCTTTTTGTTGCACTAGAAATGTTTTATCTTTCATATCTTTCTATCTGTGATACAGTATCTACTATAAATATTTGTAAAGCAGTAAAGTGAAAATAAAGTTTTATCTCACAGTGCTTAGATTAGATTGTTTTTCAAAGTTAGTCGCAGAAATATAATTTTTTAATAGATAAAGGGATTTTCAATGAAAAGTAAATTTTCTGCTTACAAATGCATATCTTCGTCTATATTTAAACTATATAAATATGTTGTATGCCCAGAAATGGACGATCTCTTTCTGACGGCCCAGGCTTTCGTTTTCTTTGTTGCCGGCTTCGAAACGTCTTCGCTAACTATCAGTCATTTTCTATACGAGATAGCAGTGAATCCGTCGGTTCAAGAGAAAGTTCGAGAAGAAATTAAGAATGTCTTGCAAAAGACTAATGGGGTGGTTACGTACAATAGCATAAAAGAGATGAAGTATTTGGACGCATGTTTCCAAGGTATAATTATTTTAATTTCTACTAGAAGTATATATAATCAAGATAATGAACAAGATACATTTTCAATTCTTCATTCTCGAACACATTTTCAATTTATTATTTTGTAACAATTTATTATGATTTATTTTAAAATGTCTATAACTTGTCTCAATATATATTTTATATCTCTTTTTTCACATAGGTAGTTTAAATCAAATTTTTATACTAGATTCTTCTTTCATTGAATATCATATTAATTACGTTGTTTTAGTGCAACAAATTTTTTTTCAAAAGTACAAGATATGACAGAAAAGTTTAAAAAAAATTATTGATTTCAGAAAAGTTATTTGCTGATTCAAAGATGTATTGAATGATTTAATAATATATTTACTTTCCTTTCTTTTAGAAACATTGAGAAAGTATCCAGTGTTAGTATGGATTTCCAGAACAGCGTTAGTAGATTACACGTTCTCAGGAACGAAAATTGCCATACCAAGGGGTCAACAGGTTTTCATTCCTGTTTACGCGATTCAAACGGACCCGGAAATTTATCCAAATCCACAAGTTTTCGATCCTGAAAGGTTCACCGATAACAACGCGAAAAGCAGACATCCAATGTTCTTTTTACCTTTCGGCGATGGTCCGAGAAATTGTATTGGTAAGATAAGACTTTACTTATCTTAAGAGAAGAAACTCATACAGTTCGTATTTAAAAGTCTTCTGTAGATTTTTTTTTTTAGATTTTTTTTTTAGATTAAAAGTCTTCTGTAGATTTTTTTTTTTTTAGATTAGAATAATCCTGCTCTCAGGTGCAAGGTACACATATACATAACTCTACCAATTGTAGGATAGAACATAATTCTGAGTAATTCTGTTTTCAGGTGCAAGATTCGCTAAAAACCAGTCAAAGATGGCAATTATTACGATCTTATCGAGATTCAAGGTCGGAGTATGCGATAAAACTTTTAAAGAATACGGTATGGATAAAAAGGTATCATTTTTGTTGCAACCAACACATGGAATATACGTGAAAATGACAAAGCTGGCAGAATAAACATGCTTGTGAGGACTCAATTTTTAATCTACATAATGGTATCGCACTAGTTTGCTTGTTTGTCTCTTTTTTTCTTAATAATATTACAAAGTATCTTTACTTGCTAATGATTTAACGATTTAAGAGTTGAATAGTCAGTATTAAGTATGGTATAGACTTATACAATCAATAAAATTATTGGATTACTTACTAAAGGTTCAAAGAGAATAACATATTGCAATGTATTCTTAATTTTTTGTAAGTATCTCGATTAAAGTCTTGGAGTTTTGGACTTTTTTGATAATTTTAAACAGTTTCGTGGTGTAGAGGTTTTTTTGATCCTTTTTATTGATCCTTCCATTCTTTCAGATTAATTCACTAACAAGAATGAGCATTTTTTATTCATAGAACTTTTAATTAAGACTGATATGGTTTTAATATAGAATTGAAAGTATGATTTCGATCCTTTCAATTCTTGAGTCCTGTAATTCAGTAAAATTTTATTAAATTTCTATTTTGACTTCTTTGCCAAGAGTAACGTGAATAATGAAGGAAAACTTCTAATTTGTATAAATAGTCTAAATTTGAAATGGTCAAAGAAATGGATATAATCGATTAGAAATACCTATTAAAATGTGATAATTTCATGGTGAAGTGAAGAAACTGTGACGATTCTTCTCGATTTTTCTTTCTCAATTTTCTTTCTCAATTTTTCTCACAGATATTGCCAACATTCTGATGATTTATCGTTCCGTTAATCGGTATTCTAATGTTCAGGGTTTTACTATATTCAATTTTCGAATGCTAAATAGTTTTATACTCGCACGTATGGGTCCCGAGTTTCATTCAATACTATATTTTTCTATGTCTGACTGAAAGTTTTATACTAGATTTCCCTTCATTGAGTATTTTAGTTTTCTTACGTTGTTCAATCTTCAATCAATTTATCCTCAATTTTATTTACGTTCAATTATCTTTCTTCCCTTTGTCATAAATGTTTATTTTCCTTGTTATTAATTTTTATCAGTAACAAATTATATTTTTCTTTTATTACTAATTTTCATTATCTTATTTTTTATCTTTCTAATCCAATAAAATGATAATTGAACTGAGAAACATATTTATAAATTTTCCAAAGAAGTTTATGCATCTACTTTATAATAATTTACTGGAAAATATATTTATAACATTATAATATCCTGTAGTTATCCTTGTATTTCTACAAATATTGTACCCAATTTTCTAAATATTTAATAGTCAATAATTTTACAATCTCTCGTTCTACATTCCACGCTATTTGTAAATAAAATATTGCAAGATAATAAAGATGCAACATAATAGAAAAGCAAGGAGGACAATAAATGAACAGCAGATAATTTATTCATAATATAATTATAACAATATAATATAATAATTAATAATAATGTAATAATATAATAATAATAAATATGAATAATAATAATAATAAGATAATATAATGAATATAATAATAATAAAATAACAATAATTAATAATTCATAATATAATAATTCATAATTACTACGTTTCGCTATATATATCGTCCTATTTCTAAGTAAAAGATCTCTCTAGCTGGGAACCAATATTAGAACTAAAGAAAGCTATCGCAAACGAACGTTTATAAATGGATGTAACAAACGATCTTCGATTATCCGACGTCGGGAATTAATATCACGGACATTGGAGCATCGTGTTATTTTTATCGTTATATACTTAAATCGAGGAAGAGCCGGGCGGAGTACTTCTTCGTGGGGTAAATCGCTTCTAAAACGTAACAGTTTTGCAGGAACAAAAATCGTTATAGGAAAGGGTCAGGCTACGCGGGTACGGACGATCTACGAGATTCATCGTGATTCCAATATTTACCCTGAGTCGGATCTGCCTCGGATCCCAGGGGTTCAGTTCAAGAACGAGGATTCCGTGTCAGCAAATCCGATGTCCCACCTAGCTGCTTTAGCGAAGGTTCAAGGAACTGCATCGGTAACGCTGTGAAAAATCTATTATTGTGTCCGGAGGATCTCTTCGCGTTTTCTGAAATATTGGATTCGTTTGCTTTCACTGAACTCCACGGATATACACTCTCTTGTTACGCAATAGAATACGTGAGTAGCTTTATTATACGTAGTTATTTCCAAAGAAATTGTGAAAATATAGTGAAATTACAGTTTCGGGTTTCGTTTCTTTATTTATTTATGCCTATGAAGATGGTAAAGAGGCAACGTACAAACAGACAATTTGTGGTTTTAATTTTTGACTCGTCGAGTTAATCTGTATGGGATCGAGATGAGAAGAATATTTTTATATAGAATGAAATATTTTATTTTTGTTTCATTTTATCGCTGAAATAGAGACGTACATATGGATATAAGAATAAATATGTAACGAAAGTTGCGTTGTAAAGACAGTAAAAAAGATCTTATGCTTATGTGGAATAAGTTTGAACTGCACAGAGATAAAGATGATTCTTAATTCTCAGAAAGAAAAAAAGAAAAAAGAAAAGAAAAATAACGCCATTAGAAGCTGATAAAATAAAAGTAATGTAAAATATTGTCTAGGTACTAATATCTAGAAGATATTAATTCTCCTACAATTCATTAATAGATTGTGGATTCTTATTTATAGCGTTATAAGCTAATCACAAATTTTAATATTAAAAACTTAGTAAAGTAAAACACTCGATAACGTCGATAATATAAATAATAATTGTTAATTAATTATCCTGACATAATCCGCTGTTCGTGTCAACATTATTATTATTAAATATGACGCGAAATTATAATATTTATAAAATATTCTCATATTATCTGATCACTTTATAGCTTTAGCAGTCATCAAAATATTTTGTGAAATACAAATTATTGTGTAGCTGCATGTATTGTGTTATAAATTTAACGAATCTGCTTGAGTTAAAATTTTGCTCGACAAATACTTCAAATGTTACGATAATATAAAGTTCCATGGGCTTGCGCATCTTGCAAAGTTTGGCATAAGAAACACGTGACGTGACAGAAATAAAAGAGAGATGATGATTCGAGGCCAAGGGGGTTAGAACGAGCAGCTCTTGTCACGGCATTTCTCTCTTTCTTAAAGCGTTGTTTAGTTTAAAGAATTCGTGGCACTCGCTTTGGCTATTTTTCCCGTTGTTTTGTTAAAAACGAGCCATAAAATGTTTCCTTCGTTTAACGAAATATCGTTCTTTATTTTCCTCGTTATTTCCCATTTCCCTTTCTTACCCTTCTTCGTTCTCTTCGTTTGTCCTTTGTGAACAGGAAAGAACGGAATATTTTCAGTTTCAAATTCGATCTCGTCTCATTATTCAATTACTTGTATTCTATTAAATGCATAATTACAAGGAAGACGTTAGCTCGAATTTTTAGATTAGTCAGAGAATATCAATGCTATGCTTATATGCTATATTGACATTCTGTTAGCTTTGAAAATATAAATCCTTAAGAAGTATCACTCATTATAATATCTCCTTTGTAGCCTTCGTTTATTAATAGGTAATAAAAGCTTGCGATCTTCTTATATATAAATTAATAGATTTCATTATAATGAGACTTGTTTTATATTAATATGTTAACGTAAATGTACAATTGACAAAATTTACTTACGTACTTTTAATTTTTATCAATAGGTCGTGTATACAACATCATCACGCGTATCTACATGAACATTTGTAAGAAATTAATTCGAGAATCTACAAATTGTGTGTATATGTATCTATAGATCGATAATCCTTCGATATTATCGAAATCATAACGAATCATGAGAAATCCAGTATTCGTTGTATTATCACGCTAAGACATTTTAAAATTCCGAGTAGCCCGCATCGCGTAGCTAGTGTGTATTTTGAACTTAACCCCTTTCTTAGGGTGCGCCCTAGAAACTTATTGCAGAAGCAATAAACTTCTTACTGGAGCGCACCATTATCGTCGACTTTTCTGGGCTTTCAGTAACCTCGTCGTAATTGTGATGAACGTGCCAGCTGCCTATTTCATTTAATGAAAATCTTTGTAATTGACTCGGCAGATCATAATTGACGGATAAGGAGTACCTTGTGATTGATAACTATTTTAAGCTCACTTTTTTAAATGATCGTAACACGTAGTTTCTTTGATTCTAATCATTACTAATTCGCGAACAGACTTGTGGATTTCTACATTTTTACCAAATTTAAAGATGCAAATAATATGATATATAAAGTTATATTTTAGAATAATATAAAGTAACCACAGTAAAATTCTTGTTGTAATATTTAATAGAAAATCTTGACTTGGGTTTCACTTTTTAAAAGATATTTCTATGGAACTGAATTTACATAAAGATTCGCACTTCATTTATGAATATCGAATTTTGTAAGTAACTGTAGTATTTTTTTTTTCTCTGTGAATGCAAAAATGCACAGAGCGCACATTGTACGCGAAAATATGTAATTGCAAAAAAAAAAAGAGAAAAAGTGCAAGAAATGTAAAAATGCACAGAACATACATTATGTGCAAAAATGTGTAAATGCAATAAATACAAAAATGTACGGCATGCACTAGAAATATCCAAAGCAATGTTCTCGCTATAATATTCAATAAGTAAAACAAATCTTGGACTAGGTTTTGTCTTTTTTGATATTTTTAGAGAACTGCGAATATGCATAAAACTCCTTAGTCTATTCACGAATATCTTTTGAATGTCAGATTTTAAAACATTGATTTGATTGTGATATATTTTTTTTATAAATAATTCTAAATACAGAAAGATACACACGCTGGACCGCGTTCTATTGGTTTCATTAGTTTCACTAGGTTATTAAAAAATTAAAAACTGTTTCGCACGGTAACATTAAAAAATATACATACGAATATATAGCATGACGCAGTTGATATTGCAAGGTTCCTAACAAATGTTAATGTAAAACACGATTTTTCACGGTGTAAAGCGGTTTATTCCGGCGTGCATTCTCACGACGCGACTGAACGAGCGCACGAATCGATTCTCCGGATCGAGATGAACGAGGGATGACATGGTTTGCGTAATCCAATAATCAAGCTTTAATAGTTTATCGCAATTGCGTGCTATTCACTTTATCCTCGCGATGACAAAAAAAAAAGGGGAGAAACAAAAACAAAAAAGAGAAATGGAAAAGAATGTAAAATAACGACATTAAACTTCAAAACTTGGGGAGATCATTCAATCGTTCTAAAAGGAGAAGAAATTTATATGGATCTATGTTGGAATTCCCGATAATGAAAGATTTAATCAAGCAATTAAAGAAGCGATCAATTCATCAAAGCGCAGTCAATTAATGTCACGTTGCCTGAATCTGAATAGAGACAAACAGGCCTCGCGTCAAAAATATTACCGAAGAATCCATCAAGAATTTTACATTGCTCTAAAGCATGACTCTTTCCGTGGCAAATGAATGAATCGAAGACTCCCCGTTGAGAAAGTAAATCTCTGACTAACTTTATCAAAAGAAGCTTAGTTAATAGATGAAATATCGGTATCAAGTTGTCGGCAATAATTGTGTACTTAATGTCGATGTAAATCCTGGCGAAAGAAAGAAGAAAGAGAAGACAGGTGGTTAGAAAAAAAGGGATAGATAGGTAGACAGCAAGAAAAAAAAAAAAAAAAAAAAAGAAAAAGAAAAGAAGAAAAAAAAAAAGAACGGTTTACGTACGCCGAGTGGAAAAGCCGAGAAAGCAGCAGCCCGCGATACATATTTATGAAAATGTTCATTCGAAAGTTCGACATTCAAATGGGGACGGTTTTCAATTGCAGACGGGAAAGTTTTTTCCTCTCCGCGAGAGCTACCGGTTGTTTGGATAACGGCCGGCGTCGACTTCCCATGTAGAAATATTGCAACATTTCGGGACATACGAATCCATTTTTGTCCTTTCCACCGTGCTTTAATGGCTTTCGCGAGCGTGTGTTTGCGTTGCAAAGGGTGATGAAAGTTTCGTAAAAATCGGCAGAGCGCGGCAAGCGGCTGTTTAAGTTCGTCGCACTGCCGTTGGAGGGTGGCAGTGTAGCCATTTCCGGATATCCGACGCGCGTCGCGTAATGAGAGGGCACGGAAGCCGAACGAGAGGACGTTCCCTACATTTAACATCAATGTATCTGATCTGTAAATTAAATCGATCGCGGGTTAATGAATCGGTAATTAGTGAATGAACCTCGCGTGGTCTTTTCATTGATGTTTATTTACGTACGTGGCAGTGTAGATGTAATTACGGTTTTGAATCTTTGGACGAATTTGAAACCTTTCTTCAAATATTTCTTGTGACATTTTCTGCGGAGATGTAAGTAATAATATTTAAACGCACACATTGTTGACAATAATGATAAAATAGCACTTCTTGTATGTTGCGTCACTAAATGATCACTGAACAACTGGAATACGGATTTTTGTGCATTCATGTATTTCTGTGAAGTTCGAAAGTATAAAAATGCACAAAATATATGTAACATGTATTACGTTATATTTTTGAGACATTTTGATGCACATAATATATATATAATATAGCATAATATAGTATAGTACAATCAATTCTGAATTTCACATCTTAAGTGTTACGTAATGTAATGTATTATTATTTAGTCCCTGTAAAAAGTGGAAAATATATATTTTTGTATTTGATATTTGAAATCAAAGAAATTTTATCAATAAAAATATTATTATATTTTATATCGTTCATTCTGAATTTTTATTTTTTTTTCATTTAATTTACGACTATATTGCAGAAATTGCATTTAACATTAAACGTAGCAAATTATTCATTTAAAAAAAAATTTATTTTGTTAAATTCTCTGCAGATAACTTTTATATTAACGTATATTCACATTTTTCGCAAAATAATCAAATGTTTCATCATACTTTTCTCGTATTACAATTGATTTATGTTAGATATACGTATAATATACGTACATGTTACAGTAATAAATTCAGAATAATAATTTGACTAACAATGATACATACGTATGAAAATTACTGTATATTATGTCGTATTTATCTATTCTTGTCGCACGGAATTGTTCAGGTTGTAAAACATTTGATCGGAAGCTTTAGATAAGTTATCAGGTATTTTACAATTCAAAAATTATATTGTTAGAAGTATTTGCTTATTATTATTATTTTCAATACGCGAAGATAACGAAGTTTCCAAGTAATATATTTTGCTGTACGTCGTACAAATCAATTCAATTATTTATTTTACTCATTTTCAAATACTTATTTTAAGAAATAACGCGGTTAATTATCGGATTTAAACAATTAGTTAAATAATTCAACAATTATTATAATAAATCAGGTTGTTATCATATTTTCCGTTATTATATTTATCAAATAATTGAACTTTTATTTCAAATTTATCTACAGAGACTCGTAAAAATATTGCAATACTCATAGAAAGATTTTTATGTAATATAATATATGTGTTTTGTCTTATATTGCTATTATAATTATACTGATAAAATTTGAAATATATGTAGAAGCACATAAAAGTATATTTATTGCAAATATATATTTGCAAAATAAAATTATTTCATCATTTGGTATTTAGTTAAGTCAATTGTCCAATATATTAATAAAGCTTTAATGTTTAATGAGCTTCACTTTTGCCACTAATTATATGTAAAACAATTTAAAGTTTCATGCTTTATATTAATTTTTTATAAAGTATATATCTCTATTAAATGTTCTGCTATTTATATATATATATATATATTTTTTTTTTTCAGAATATTCCTTCACTTGTTTCTTTTATTATAGATAATTATTTGAATGAAATTTCGAAAGTTTAATACACATAATATATTCATAAAAGTTCTTTTTATAATATAATAATAATTTGTAGATTTTTCGCTTTGATGAAACAAAATAGTTGGTAAATGTAAATTTATCGTATTTTTGTGTCAAAAGCAAGGTTGTTTCGCTCAGAATCTCTATCCCTTTCAGCTTTCCCGATAAATAAATGAGGTAACAGTACGTGTTGATTAAATTTGAATTCCTGGCTAATGAATTTAATGAGAGATACAGCTTGTTGTTCTAACTTTATTTATTACATTCAATGCAACATAAATTAACTTGTATACCTGTTACATGTACTAACCACTTTGAATGAATTTTTCATAATAAATTTTTCAAATTCATTTTGAAAAATGGTAACGTAGAAGTTGTGATTGTTTGCGATGGTAATAAATGATAAATATAGATAAATGTGTATAACAATTAATGCTAGATATATGGTATTTTATATTCAGTTTTATAATGTTTACATATTATATTTAGTAATTCACATGATTGAAGAGGTTTCCTCAAGTTTTATTAAGGATGGTAAATTTGAGAAGTATGGCAGTAGTACATATCAGAATTTGTACGGCTCGTTCACGTAGCAAGCAAAAGAATTACGTTCCGCTGGCGTTACTTTGACAATATCGACATTGTGCAAACAGTTATTCATAATTAAATTCACACACAACGAGATACTATTTATTTATCGCAAATAAAGAGTGAAAAAAAAGAAGAAAAAACAAAACTCCACTGTGCGCGCATGAAACCGCAAATACAAATAAAATCCACGGACATTTACATAACTTTTAATTTTAAAAAGCTACAGAGTATAAAATTGCCGCTATTACTCAGTCGTGTGAAAAAAAAAAAAA